TTTTTTTTTTTTTTTCTCTATTATTCCCGCCCGTTTTCAACCAGATTTACCCCACGGACCAATCAGTATCGAGTTATAGCAGCAACCCATCCACGCCAGTCAGTTCGCCACCACCGTTGACGGGTTCAGCGCCGGGCTGGGCACCAGGTGCTGCACCAGTTTCACCGCATTTCACCACGGATCCTAACCGTGGAACCATTCACATGGTATGCATCAAAGCTTGCCCGTTTATAACGCCGTTTATTAATTTTTAATCTCTCCACCTTTTTCGACACGATACGACGATACTTATCTACTTTGTTATTATTATTATTTATTTATTATTTATTTATTTATTTATTTATTTATTTATTTATTGAACCCGACACCGTCCAACGATCGAGAGATACATATGTCGAGAGGCGATCAATTTTTTTTTTTTTTTTCCTACAAACGCGTTTACTCGAGCGAACTAGATTCGCTCTAACTAATCGATCAGAGAAGAAGAAGATCGTCGTTGGATCTGGTCGTTGGAAAGTGACGGGTGCATCTCTGAACGCAAGACAGACAACACGCTTCATCACCGTTTCGGTGCGCTTTAGAAACAGGTCAAGGACGTTCGTAACAGAAACCTCTCGTGCTCGTTCACTTCTCTTACGATATATTTTATCGTCTGCACTATGGTGACTCGTTGAGAGATTACCGTTGTTATTACACGCACTGACACTTTTTTTATTTCTGTTCACGGGGGAGGATCGGAATGGTTTATTATTATCGTCAACGTGAGACAATAACGCGAATCCGAAATACGTCTTTTTTTATTTTTTATTTTTATTTTTATTTTTTTTTTTTTAATCGTCGTTTCAATCTCTGCCCACCGATTGCACTTGGAATTCGCACAGAAGTAGCATGCACTCGACTCACCGACGACACGATTCGTCTCTCTCGTCTCCAGCTCACCAGCAAACTTTATTTTTTCTTTTTTTTTTCTTTTTTTTCTTTTATTTTTTTTTTTATGCTCATCCTCCCCCTGTTTCAGTTACTCGGTGACGATATCTCGTCTCATCGTCGTTTTACGTTTTATTTATTTATTTTTCTTCTCTCTTTTTTTCTTTCTTTCAATATTTTTTTCTTTTCTTTTTCTTTTTCTTTTTCTTTTCTTTTTTTTTTTTTCTTTACCCCTTGTTTGTTGTGAACGTTGTGTTGACTTGGTTGTTCTCTTTTTTTTTTTTTTGGTTTTGTTGTTGCGTTGGTGTTGTGTGTGAAGCCGGCGCCTGAACAGCAGAGGCTAGACGATGCCATCGGCTTCCTTCGCGACCATGCCGAGGTGAGGATTGCCGATTTTTAGTTTTTTTTTTTTTCTTCTTCTCTCTTCCCTCCCCCGTCCGCCTCTTTTGTTTGCTCTTCTTTCCGATCCTCCCACCCATATCACTCGTAACACCATTTTGTGTGCATGAAAATTCACACACATCGGATATCGTCGTTCTGCTCATTTTCTGGATGTTCTCAGCGATGTCTCGCTGAGAATGATATTCGCAGAAATTTCTTTTTTAATTTTTTATTTTTTTATTTTTTTTTTTATTTATCACTCGCAACGATATCAACGACTCAAAAATTAATTCTCGCACCGTTGTTACGCCGTTGTTTCTTTCGCTCGTTTGAAACAAAAAAAAAAAAAAAAAAAAAAAATAAAATAAATAACCGGGGTGTGATAATTAAACTCGCGTCGCCCGTGATATTTTCTTTCACTTTCGACAATTTAAAACAACTCTACTACCAAACTAAAAAAAAAAAAAAAAAAAAAAAACCCTGCCTCATCTCACACACGCTTCTTCTCCATCGCCTTGTACGTGTTACATTAGATCCATTGGTACCAGCGTCGAAGATATCTCTTCGTGCTCGGGATTTCAAATGTTTCTTCTTCTTCAAATTTTACCACCCGCGAACGAGAGTCGTGTCGTTGACGCTGGGATCACTGGCAAGAAAACTCTCTTTCCTTTGGAAAGAAAATTTGGAACGAAACAGACAATGTGTAATCGAGTTGGAATTTCGGATATTCTGTTGGTACAGGGTACGCGGATGGAGGAACGATTGGACGACGCCATAAACGTGTTGAGGAACCACGCGGAGAGCCAATTAGGCCTTCATTTGGGTCCCGTTGGTCCACACGGTTCAATCTACTCCCACACGTCGCCACCTCAACTGGACCACTTGGTAAGACTTTTTTTCCCTTTCTCGATTGGACATAGAGACAAATTTAAAGATTAATTTAATTAAAGGGATTAATATTTATTTCTTATTCTCCGCGCAGACGAGTCCTCATCCTGCGGTGACAGTAACGCAACCACAGGGCTCTTACTCCGGCCTCACGCCCACGCCCGACACGGACGGTTCCATCAAAATCGAAAGGTTACCCGTGACGAATGCCAGTAAGTTTCGAATCGGCAATTTCGTTCGATCGATCGTGAAACTTTGTCGCGAGAGGTTGGTGGAACGGGGAAGGAAAAGAAATGAGCCGGGGATGCGAAGGAGAAGAGGAACGAGAAAGAGAGATAAAACGACGAGCGTCGTTGACAATTGGCGATCGGGAATGGTTGCGCTGTTGCCGCGGTCTATTCTCGGCGTCGCATCATCGGATAAATACTTTTTCCCATGAGCAGCGGAGAGCGAGAGGGAAAAAAGCGAGAGGAGAAGGAGTTCCCAGGTGTTCCACGTTGGAGTTAGAGCCCGATAAGGAAGCATTAGATAAATCGCGCAAAAGTAACTGCTGCTGCTACTGCTACCACCACTACTATTACTACTACTACCGCTGCTGCTCTTGGATAGTGCCTTTATTATTCTCGAACACCTCTCTCCGCCGTCTGCGTCGTCCCCCGCGTCGCTCGCTCTTTGTTTCCGTTTCTTCCGTCACGCGTTCCTCCTCTCCTTCGATCCTCCGCACCAACTAATGGAATGCACGAGTTTTCCAGCCGCTCTTACCCTCCCACCCATTGACGACCATTTTTGGCCATAGGAATTCGAAAAGCGCACGATTCTTCTTCTCTTTCGAGATCATCATCATCATCCTCCTCCTCCTTTTTCCCTCCCTCCTTCTTTTCCTTCTTTCCCTTCGAGAGGAAAAGCATCGACTCTTTCGATACTTTCACCGAGTGCATCGGTGATCGAGGCGAGCGACGATCGGGGGATCGAAGCGAGGAGGGGAGAGGGGAGGAAGAAAAATGAAAGAAAAACGTAATCGTGGACTTTTGCACACAATCGCCGTTCCTTGCTGATTTATCTAAGCGCGCGATTCACGCGGTTGCTTTGGTGGTGGTGGTTAGAAACGCACGAGTTAATGCATTCGCGGCGAATTGTCAACGGCCGTTGCGAGGCGTTTAAGGAGATGTGGTTGAATCAGTATCGAGCGTGCGCCGTAAATCGCTTCCTGCTCGTAATTGGACACTTTTCACGGTTTCGTGACTAACCAGTTTGCCCAAAGCTCGAGGATAATATCGGGAACTCGGCCGTGTATCGCCGTGTACGGCGAAGGTCGCCTTTCTTCCGGGTGAGCTCCAACCTCCAATATATATATATATATATTTTATCCCCCTGTCGATAATTGTCATGGCTCGTCGACGACGCTCCTTTACGTTTCTCTTCCTTTCCACCGTTCCACGAACGGTATCGTTCGAACATTGTGAACGCGACACTAGGGATGTTTTGAATGAACGGAAATGAAAAAACGACGTATTAATAATGAGCAGAATACGTCTCTTTAGAAAAGAGAAAGGATCCACCGGATAGCAGCGGTGGCGAGACGAAACCTTCGAGCAGCGAGTTGGCGGCGGCGGGCGTGATAGGAGCTGCAACGGTCAATTCTACGTCCCAGGGGAAGGGGACCAAGAGATCGCGTAGATAGTAAGTATATATATATATTGGATGTGTATTTGTATATACTTGTCCCGGGAATTAAGGATCAATGGCCGATCAATCGACAGTAGTGAACATCGAAGCGCAGAGTTTGGGGGTGGGGAGGGAGGGGGTGTCGATCCCTAGAGTCTAGCCCCTTTCGATCCGCGCCACAGTCTTGCCATTGTCGAATCGGC